ATTCATAACACATTTGTTATTTCTTGGTTCAAAATTCTACATTATATGATTTTTAAGTTTTTGAATGATGGCAGCTTTGATTTCCACATTAACTGTCCAATAGTTACCACATTGTGCTCTCATTCTCTTGGGACCTAAGATTGGTAAATTATTTGTGATGGTTTTATTTGGTGCTTGATTTATCTATTCATGCATGAATACCGTATTCCTTTGTTTTCTTTGTTTTTTTCTTGCTAGACTTTAAGATCGGAAGCAAACTAGCAAAAGGAATAAAACTATAATGGAACTAGCTGATAGAGCTGTCGGCTTACTTCTATCAATTGTCAGCGTGTCCATCTTCACTTATTATACCTTATGGGTTATCATCCTGGTTAGTTTCACCATCTCCTTTTAACTCATTACAGATCAAGTATATAACAGTTAATATTTTTGTGAACAAATGACATGTTTGTTTCTTGTTTTTTTGTCAGCCTTTTGTGGACAGTGACCATTTCGTGCACAGCTACTTTCTCCCTCAGGAATATGCCATTCTCATACCTGTGTACGCGGGCGTGACACTAATCTGCTTTCTCTCAGTGTTTATTGGATATGTGATGCTCAAGTCGAAAAAGAAGAAGGCATGAGTTGAATCATAGGAAATAAAAACTAGCAGTAGTTCTATTTGAACTCTAGTGTGCTTTGCTTGGTATTTTGTTGTTTGATGGGTACACTATTCTACAAGTCTGTTTGGTGGTGATAGTTGATTGAAGTTCCTTTATTTGTAGCACTAGAAGATTTACCCTAACCTATAAAAAATACAACAGCAATAGTGAATTGCACCCTTTCAATGTATTACATGCTTCTACTTCATTCTTTTTTTACAAAGTGCATCGTCAAACTTCACTGTGTTGCAAAAGATCATTTGTTTTATACAGTACTTGTCTATCCATTCCAGGTAAAAAATAAGAATCTGAAAGACTTTTACTAATTACCTTAAGACATAAAAACCTAGGAGGAAAGTACAGCTTTACACAGGGGGGCAAGCAACATTATACAAATTCCACAGATTACCTACTCTATTAGTAGTACAACATAAAACAGTATAATAAAAGGATTGTTTGTGAAACTACGGGATATCCCTTGCCTTTACAGCCTTTTCTTTCTTGATTTCATTATGGTGACGGCACGGACTGAAAAACTCATGGCTAAGAGCTTCATCTGCACTGATCCTGTGCCGTGGATTCACTATTAAACACTTGTCGACCAGATCGAAAAGTGACCTTGGTATGGCCTGCAAGAATCCAGGTCTCCTTGTATTACGCGCACACCAATCCCCAAGTTTTGTAGATGTCAAGTATTTCGCATCAAATAGATCCTGTTTCATATGAGTTATGTAGATGGCAAGTATTTCGCATAAAATAGATCTTGTTTCATATAAACAAGAAAACAACTTAGAAACATGTAATGTGTGTATTACCCTTGGAAAAGATGATTCACGGTCGTGTAGCCTGGCCAGTTCCCACAGATCTTCGCTGCCTCTCAACTTTGCTATCTCCTTTATGTTCCTGTGGTCACAACTGACGATTTAGAGGAAATTTATATATTAATAACTTTTACTAAGAATGACAGTTTTACGTGCTAAGCATATAGTTCAAATTGCATGCTTACTGATCAGCATCGCCTGTGAAAGGTGCCCGTCCGATCATTAGGTACAGTAAAGTAACTCCAGCAGACCAAATATCAACCTTGGGGCCTTGATGCAGAGATCTGAATAGTACCTGCATAGCACCATTTAATTATTTTCAAATCATTTTCAGATGCCTGAGAATCAAGTTTCCCTGAAAAATATTAAATGAGATTTTTTTCTCTAACCCAAATTTCTTACTGTTTTATGTTCTAATATGAACAGCTTCTCCCCTTTATTATTTCTTTCTCGTAATCCGGCAAATGTGATATATGGAGAATGACATTGTTACATGCTTTTATGAGCCATTTGGTTGTGAATAGGGACACCAGCACCAGAAACAAAGATCAGTCACTGCTTAGGTTTTTGTAGGCTTTATATATAATCATGTGTACGTACTGACATGGTGTAAATGTGAAGTGTACATTTGAAAGTTTCCCATTTCCAGTTATGAAAGAGCTCAATACAGAGGATGCCCTGTCCGGATCTAATGTAGTCATATATGTTTGAAACGGATCAATATTATTTATAGAAATATAAAAGGTTCTGAAGCTTGGCTGAACACAAATTATACATATGTTACTTGAGGGATCTGAAAGGGTGATAATATGTTGTAAGTCAGAATTTCATTACAGGTCTCATGTTCCCATTCCCCTACACCATGAATGGTTAGAAGTCAGTTACTATATTTTATGTCCAAAACAGTTTGGATCTGCCCAAGTTCTAAAATGAAACAGAGGGGAATGGGTTGGTTCAAAATAACAAGGGAAGGCTCACGAAGATCAAACTACTTGCTTGATGTTGCTATAACTATAAGGAGTATGAACTAGAAATAGAGTACAGCAATCAGATCCGAGAAATTACAAAAGTTTCTGAAACATGAATGTGGCATACCCTTTTTATATAATCACCTTATCCTAGGACAACATTCTCAAAGAATTAAATGCAGAGAAATTTGATCTATAAGCCAAATTTCAGAGCTACAGAATTGATAGGACATCCCTTTAGAACAAGTCCACAATCCTCAAATGCATACAAAGCGGGTTCAAGAATTTTACCTCTGGAGCCTTGAAACCTTTAGTTCCAGCACAAGGACCTTCTCGCCTGGACTTCCCCTCGCCTACAAATGGGATGGTACAAAAATGTAAGGTGTGTCATTTAATAGCATGACTTACAAGCTCCGAATTTGAAGTCAAAAGAACAAAGGAAAGAGTAATGAGAGCCAAAAAACTAGAACCTTTGGTTTTCAGTTGCCCAGCACCACGAACGGCAACTCCATTGTTGTGCAGTGGCATTGGAGTTATATAGAGAGAAGAATTCTCTGTATCTCCAGGAGATGCAGAAACTCGTTTCCTTTTAGACTTTGGAGCACTTGCAGATTCATAATTTCCACCCTTCAGGGCTTCCTGCACCAAGCTCAACAATTCACTCCTCCCTGTATTTGGCATGGGCTCTCTTAACCTTTCTCCCGATCGTGTTTTATTGCTTGTCCCATCCTTTGTGGAAGTTATTCCAGATCCATCACCACCCTGGCTTCTGATAATTCTCCTGCTGCTTGCTTCGGTGAAAACTTTTGCTTTGTCAACCTTCTTTTTCAGGTTGCCAGGTGGTAAAAGGGAAGTGGATACTTTTTTCCCTGAATTTTTAGTAACTGCTTCAGGAAATTTTGTATTCATTAACTTCTTACTTCTTGCTGTATTTAACGAACTGTTCTGGGGAATGGGAATGTGATCATTCGAATTGTGTCCTGCTTTAGTGTTATCTGTAGAATATAGAAACAGAGTCCACTTTAAACAAGCATGGGATACAAATTACTGTACGATACAGGCATACTAGCTAGTGCGCAAAAACAAAATCTCTGTAAACAGGTTGATACTATCATATGATATTCAAGCAAAATAATACTCAGAGGCAAATCCCACCAAAGATATATGTTGACAATGTCAAATAATTGTTGACAAACACTCACCAAATATCCTGTATTTCTTGCACATATCCTGTAGAACAGAAATAATCCATCAAGTTGACCTCATTCTAGTTGAAAAGGGAAGCAGAACAACATGAATACAAATGTTAACAGAATTGAAACTCATTACTCAACAACATGGTATACTCACCAATGCAAGATTGAAATCTATCAGGTAACCTTTATTGACCTTGCGGGAGTAAAGAAAGTTCCCAGGTTTAACATCTCTGTGAACAATGCCCTGTACAAAAAAGGATTATAAGCATGCACCCTTCTATTATGAGGTATCCTGTTTCGCATGCCGATACATGCATGTCTTGTATATTATTTTACCTGTTTGTGTAGGCCTGCGAGGGCTTTGAACAAACAATAACCATACCACTGTAGTTGAATAATGTCAATTTCTCTTCTTAAATTCTGCGGTTCAAAACAAAGTTACAAAGGTAGAAAAAACTTAATAATAATGTTTGCGCAAAGATGATTAACTAACTACCTCAGGCCTATCATGCTCAACATGCTCCAAAACAAGACAATCAGCACTCCCACTCTTCAAAGAACCTTCATATCTTATCACAAAGTTTTTGCCCCTGCCATTAACATTAATTTATAGAGCAAAGTGTAACTAATGTTGTAAGCAGCAAAATTTCATTAGTGCTGATGCTATGTTAGGGATTAGATATATCCATATAATAATATTTTTACCGCAATCGCTCCAGCATTTTCATCTCATTGATCACACAATTTCTGTTTGCATTAACATGAGGACCTGAAAACATGTGGATAAGGAACATAACTGGTTGAGTATTATATCTAATTTTCTAAAAACTGCAAAACTATCTCTTTGTCTATTTTGTTTCATGTGAGACAGACATATAAAGAAGGCTTAAGATAAAAGAATATTATAAGAATTTGTTAGTTAAAAAAGAGCCAACAACTGCCGTCACCTCACAAATAGTGCCTTTTTTTTGCAACAATTACCAAGTAACCAATTCTATAGCAAGCAAAAAAATTACTGGTAAAATATTGTCAAGTTGACTGTTTTAACTTTAGAGGAACTTATAGAATAGGACTGGTAGATCCGTCACAGGTGCAGGCTTCAGAAATACTAGCCTTTTACATTAGAATATTAGCCTTTTACATCAGAATAAAAGTTTCTAGAATCTATGAAGAGTAAAATGATAAA